CTATAGTACCCTGCAGAGCTTGAGATCAAAGTCTGCTCATGACAGTGAGCATCTGCTTCAGCAATCGGCTGGATTCCTTGTCCCTACCATTCATCTGTCTATCCAACCATGTATCCATCTAGTCAACCATCTGTCTAATCCTCCAACTATGCAGCCAATCTATCAACCATCCATCCAACCTTCCAATCCACTGAACCCTCCTCCATCCATCCATCCATCCATCTAGCCAGCCACAAATACCAATTGATTATTCATCACACAAATATCAAGGGCCTCCTGTATGCTAATTCTATGCCAGGAGGAGGCTGAATGCAGAGCGGACTAGGATACAACAGCAAATGGAAAAGCCACGTTCCCCACTAGATTTGGAGCTCCCCCCAGAATCCCTTGAGTTTGTATCTGTAGTATATAACATATGATTTGGGTCCTGTTTTCCTTTCCTTTTTTTTTTTTTGGAGACAGAGTCTCACTGTGTTGCCCGGGCTAGAGTGCCATGGTGTCAGCCTAGCTCACAGTGACCTCAAACTCCTGGGCTCAAGAGATCCTTCTGGTCTCAGTCTCCCGAGTAGCTGGGACTACAGGCATGTGCCGACATGGCCGGCTATTTTCTCTATATTATTTTTAGTTTGGCCAATTATTCTTTCTATTCTTTGGTAGAGGAACACGGGTCTCACTCTTGCTCAGTGGCTGGTTTCGAACATCCTGACTAAAGCGATCTCCCGCCTCGGCTCCAGAGTGCTAAGTTTACAGGTCGGAGCCACCCTGGCCCGACGTGTGTTTCCTTTTCATCCTCATTCCTTTTCAACTAAATGGTTTCTGGAATAAGCCAAGCCCTCTTTTGCCTGAGAACTTTAAGCAATTGTTATTCCTTTTGAGTCAAATGTTCATCCAGCAATGCCAATAGCTGACTCCTTTTTTCCCTTTGCATCTTAGTTAAAATGTCCTATCCTCAGAGAGGCCTTTTCTGACCACCTTACCTGAAGGTGACACCCTTCAGGTCCTCCACCAGCTACTCTCTATCATCTCTATTTCTCTTATGGTGCTGCTCACAATATGTCATCATCTTGTTTATTCATTGTTTGTTTATTTTCTAGCTTCTTTTTTTTTTTTTTTTGAGACAGAGTCTCATTTTGTTGTCCAGGCTAGAGTGAGTGCCGTGGCATCAGCCTAGCTCACAGCAACCTCAATCTCCTGGGCTCAAGCAATCCTCCTGCCTCAGCCTCCCAAGTAGCTGGGACTACAGGCATGTGTCACCATTTCGTATGTATATTTTTAGTTGGTCAATTAATTTCTTTCTATTTTTAGTAGAGACGGGGTCTCGTTCTTGCTCATGCTGGTTTTGAACTCCTGACCTCGAGCAATCCACCCGCCTTGGCCTCCCAGAGTGCTAGGATTACAGGTGTGAGCCACCACGCCCGGCCTATTTTCTAGCTTCTTGACTAGAAAAATAAGCCCCAGCAGAGGGCAGTTACTAAATTTTTTATGTTCTTTATTGCCTAGTCCAGTAACTGACACGTAATAGGCCTTCGATGTTTATTGGTTGGATGAATGGATGAGGAATATATGACCAGATCTTCCTAGTATCAGGGAGCCTGAAGAGTAGCGGAGAACAGACCTTGAAAGATAGGGTGAGAACACAGCCTTAAAAGCCAAGCCAAAGGTGGTACACTCCATGTGCACTCAGGGAGCCAGTAGAGGCTGTCGACTGGCAAGTTGAAAATGGTGGCTTACTTGGTAAGTATGCCAATACTAATGGAGAGTAACTTGGTATGCCAAAAACTGCTATAAACCTGAAATTTAAATTATTCACTGCAGCATCCTGCGATGAATTACTGCAAGAGGTAATCCCATCCCAGGATGGAAACTGTAGTATTCTCCCTGAGGGGGATTATACAATGTGGGACCTCAGGGTCTAGCAATTTCATAGACACTATGTTGTGTTAAATTAATTGATTATGGTTAACTACAAAGTGTCATGGTGAAATCCCTGGAAGGCAGGATCTGTGTCTGCTAATGGCAGCCATCTAGCCTGCAGGAAATAACTATCTGTCGAATGAATGAATTAGTGAAACAGTCATGAACTTGGAAGGACCTGGGTTAGATAGGACCTGCTGCTGGCTAGCTATGTACCATAAGATCTTTAACAGAGTTGAGGCTCAATTTCCTTATCTGTAAAAGAAGAAGAAGACTTAACTTACAGGATTTTAAACGAGAGTTTATGGGAAAATCTCTGGTACAAAGTGAACACAAAGTACATTCATTTCCTTCTGTTATTTTGAAATGAGATTCTGGAACTGCCCTGACTAGGATTTCCTACTGGCCTTTCCTCAAGAGCCACCTGGCTTGAAATAGGCAGAGCATATGGTGATATTTGCTTATTGCATTTTCAGTCTTTTCTATGTAAAACTGTAATTCTGACTATGCAACTTACCAGTTGAGTGACCTTGGGCATTCTCTTCATGTCTCAAAATCTCAATTTATAAAATGATATCAAATGAGTATAATAGTAGTACCTGCCTTATTGTTAAGAATTAAATGAGATGATATACCATACTGTTTATACTAGTGCCTGATACATGGTACTTAAGAAATGCTGGCTGTAGGCCGAGCCCGGTGGCTCACACCTGTAATCCTAGTACTCTGGGAGACCGTTGTGGGCGGATTGCTCAAGGTCAGGAGTTTGAAACCAGCCTGAGCAAGAGTGAGACCCCGTCTCTACTATAAATAACAAAAGAAATTAATTGGTCAACTAATATATATAGAAAAAATTAGCCGGGCATGGTGGCGCATGCCTGTAGCCCCAGCTACTCGGGAGGCTGAGGCAGCAGGATTGCTTGAGCCCAGGAGTTTGAGGTTACTGTGAGCTAGGCTGACGCCACGGCACTCACTCTAGCCTGGGCAACAAAGCGAGACTGTCTCAAAAAAAAAAAAAAAAAAAAATTCTGGCTGTGTGTGTGTGGAGATAGAGTCTTGCAATGTTGTCCATGTTGGTCTTGAATTTACAGCCTCCAGCTATCCTCTTTCCTCAGCCTCCTAAAATGCTGGGATTACAGGTGTGAGCCATCATGACCAGACCTTTTTTTTTTGAGACAGAGTCTCACTCTGTTGCCTGGGCTAGGGTGTGGCGGCATCAGCCCAGCTCACAGCAACCTCAAACTCCTGAGCTCAAGCGATCCTCCGGCCTCAGCCTCCAGAGTAGCTGGGGCTACGGGCATGCACCACCATTTTTTCTATATATTTTTTTCTATATATTTTTTCCTATATATTTTTAGTTGGCCAACTAATTTCTTTTTATTTATAGTAGAGATTGGGTCTTGCTCTTGCTCAGGCTGGTCTTGAACTCCTGAGATCAAATGATCGGCCCACCTCGGCCTCAGAGTGCTAGGATTACAGGGGTGAGCCACTGGGCCCGGCCTAGACCTTTTTTTTTTTTTTTTTTTAAGGTTTAGCAAATGTTTATTGAAATGTTTCAAGCAATGCTATTTCATATATGTACACACACACACATATCTTATACAAAACATATCTATGATGTTAGAGTCAGGATAGTGGTCATCCTTTGATGGGACATAGTGTCTGAAAGAAGGCTTGAGTACAGCTGGCTACTGGAACACTGAATATGTTTCTATATCTGACCACTGGTAATGGTTGCATGACATGGTTTAGTGTTTATTTATTTATTTTTTATTTCGGCATATTATGAGGGTACAGATTTTAAGGTTTCAATAAATACCCTTTCCCTCCCTCCTCCGACCTTTTTTTTTTTTTTTTAAAGCCTACGGCAGCCGGTATTCCCAGGCGGTCTCCCTTTTTTTTTTTTTTAAATAGAATTTTATTTTTACTCCCCTTAATGCTAGCATCTTTTCTCCCATGTCCTGTAGGCATTGTCAGTGCCTACGATCTCTTCTGGAGGAAAGGCTGAGTCTGGGGTGCCATTTGAGAGAAATGAGTTCAGCAAATTCTTCCAGAAACAACAAAGCAAGAGATTTCTTTCTTTCTTTTTTTTTTTTATGTCAATTTTCTACTTCTGTAAAAGCAAGAGATTTGAAGTGAAAGTAGAGAGAGAGAGGCATCAGGACGCTGAAGAGAGAGATACTGTGTAGGACAACATAGGAGAGGACAGGAAAGAAAAAGGCTTAAGCAGGAAACCATGTGTGTCCAGTTTCCAGTGGATTTGGAGAATAAGCAGTGTTCACATGGTAGTCCAGCAATGTCTCAGGACTCCACCAAGTCTCTCCTTTGCCATTAGCATTTTCCTTTTTTTTTTTTTTTTTAAAGATAAGTAGGTGCTTTGTTCCTACAAAGTGGGGAGAAGTAAAAAAAAAAAACAAACAACATTCTTTATGTGGAGGCTGAAGTAGCTGCCATGAGGTTAGGGACATCATTCAATCCCCAGCACCTCGTTCCGTGATTAGCATAGCAGATACTCAAAAGTGTGTGTAGGATTATATTTCAAACTTTAGTTGTCTTTCCCACAGGAGCTTGTCGTGCCCACACGCGGCCACAAGAAGGTCCGTGCCTAGAAATAACATTTATTATAAGGATCTCTGCGCAGAGATTCTTGGGAAGCGGTTCCCCTCTCGCATTACCTTGTTGCTCCTCCCCTCGGTTGCCTTTGAAAGAACTGGTACGCCACGTGATTGCCTCCTTTCTCCCACCTCCGAAGACTTGGCTGATAACGGGCAGGAGCGTAGGCCAACCATAAAACTACATTTCCCCTTCCAGCCAATAGAAAGAAGCGATAAGTATACGGTTCATCTTTTGTGACTTCCCCCGCCCCCTTTGAGCCCACCCCCCTCACTCCTCCTCTCAGAGTCCACATTTGACAACTCATCTGGCCAATGAGAAGTTCCTACTCTCCGTGGGAGGGACGGACTGACTAGATGATAGACTTCCCAGTCTGGCCAATGGAAGATCACAAGTGCGGGAGCGGGGGTAGCACGGAACCAATGGCGCGGTGCCAATAACGAGCATCAGGGAAAGGGCGGGACAAAACTGTTCGCGGGAGGGCGGGGAAGGCTCAGGGAACCAAGCAGCGCTGCCGCCGCCGCCGCTGCTGCCCGAGTTGGAGGAGGGAGAAGCCAGGAAGAAAATGGCGGCCGTAGCTGCAGAGGCGGCAGCGACTGCAGCGTCCCCCGGGGAGGGGGGCGCCGGCGAGGCCGAGCCGGAGATGGAACCCATCCCCGGCAGCGAGGCCGGCACTGACCCCCTCCCGGTCACGGCCACGGAAGCGTCTGTGCCGGATGGCGAGGCCGACGGGCAGAAGTCTGCTCCTCAGGCCGACGAGCCGCCGCTCCCGCCACCACCGCCGCCGCCGGGGGAGCTCGCCCACAGCCCAGAGGCGGCGGGGCCAGAGCTGGAGGCTGAGGAGAAGCTGCCCGTTCGGGTGGCGGAGCCGGCGGCAGCCGCGCCTCAGGAAGGGCCCGAACTTCCACCTTCTGCACCGCCGCCGGAGCAGCCCCTGGCTCCGGAGGAGCGCGAGGAGACGCCGCTGCCTCAGCCCGCAGCCCCGGCGCTCGTGCCGCCGGCGGGCGGGGACTCGGCGGTGTCGCAATTGATTCCGGGCTCCGAGGTGCGGGTCACGCTGGACCACATCATTGAGGACGCGCTCGTCGTGTCGTTCCGCCTCGGGGAGAAGCTCTTCTCCGGGGTCCTCATGGACCTGTCCAAAAGGTACCGCGCTTGACCCCAGCTTTCTCCGGCCCGCTCCGCTCGGTCCCGAGGGAAGGAGCGAGCCCGAGCGGCCCCCTCACCCCGGGCTCTCGCCTCTCCGGCGCCCGCGGGCCCCGCCGCCTGCACCGCCCTCTGGTCCTGCGCGGCGCGTGGCGCGCGCTGGGAGTGGGGCAGGCGCGCCAGGCCAGAAGAGGGCGGTCCCTGCCCCAGGTGGGCGCCTGCGGGGGCAGGTGTGCCACCAGGTGGCAGGGCGCGGGTGCGGATGGGCTCGCGAGTCTCAGCCTTCATCCCTGGCCTCCTGCATCCTGGCCCTGGCTTACCCACACCGGGTCGGGTGGGTTAATTGATACAAAATGCAGATGGAGTTTTTTTTGTTTTTTTTTTTTTGCAGAGAATGGGGTACTGAGCGGGGGAGATTGCTTGTGAGGCACTTGTCTGTCCTCAAATTAACCTTTAACTTTAGTAGAGCTTAGTAGGGTTCGAGAAAGAGGTGTGGACGCTGGGGTTCCCAAAAGGTTACCTGTCACCCCTTGCAGGGGGACGAGGATTTGTAAAAGTGAACCTTTTAACTCTTATTCTTACTGTTAGAAGTAATTTCCCTTAGGATAAGTGTTTATTAGGGAAGCACATTTTGCTAATTTTAGTGGTAGTTTTAAGAAAAGTTTAAAGAAGAGATCGGAGATATGTTTTTTTAACCTTTAATGTCAAGGTGGAGTGGCAGAAAAGTGTTAAAGTGACTTCTAATATTGTACTATAGATACAGTTTAAATTTATGTATTAAAGGACAAGAAGGTTGAGTTCACCTACAAACCTGTTTTAACCAGTACATTTTCATCTTTTGATTTAAACCATTTATGGACACTGCTTTAAACAGGTAAAGGAGATAATGTAAGTCCAGAGTTAAGTTAACCTTTTTATTCTCTTCTTTTGCAGATATGAAGTGCAGAGACTCCCTTTCATGGCTCTCCATTCTGTTTCCTGCAATAGCACACACTCTGATAGTATCTCATCTGTTTCGAAGTGGCTTGTTAATATATATGTATATATATTTCATTTTTAACTCCTTGCTCTCCCACCAAGACACAAGAATCCTTTCCCATTTGGGGAAAAAAGCAGTTTACATTCATATTGAAGTATGATGTTCAGGGGGAAAAGGTGACAGCCTTTACAGTTACTCTATACCTTGTTTAATCTGAAGGGTTTTTTTTTTTTGAGACAGAGTCTCGCTTTCTTGCCTAGGCTAGAGTGAATGCCGTGGCGTCAGCCTAGTTCACAGCAACCTCAAACTCCTGGGCTCAAGCGATCCTCCTGCCTCAGCCTCCCGAGTAGCTGGGACTACAGGCACGAGCCACCATGCCCGGCTGATTTATATATATATATATGTTAGTTGGCCAATTAATTTCTTTCTATTTTTATGGTAGAGACGGGGTCTCACTCTTGCTCAGGCTGGTTTTGAACTCCAGACCTTGAGCAATCCGCCTGCCTCGGCCTCCCAGAGTGCTAGGATTACAGGCCTGAGCCACCGCCTTGAAGGGTTTTTTTAAATTATTATTATTTTTTTTGAGACAGTCTCGATTTGTTGCCTAGGTTAGAGTGAGTGCCGTGTCGTCAGCCTAGCTCACAGCAACCTCAAACTCCTGTGCTCAAGCAATCCTTCTGCCTCAGCCTCCCGAGTAGCTGGGACTACAGGCATGCGCCACCATGCCCGGCTAATTTTTTCTATATATATTAGTTGGCCAATTAATTTGTTTCTATTTATAGTAGAGACAAGGTCTCACTCTTGCTCAGGCTGGTTTTGAACTCCTGACCTCCAGCAATCCGCCCGCCTCAGCCTCCCAGAGAGCTGGGATTACAGGCGTGAGCCACTGTGCCTGACCAATTTTTTATATTTTTGAGACAGAGTCTCTGTTGCCTGGGCTAGAGTGCCATGGCGTCAGCCTAGCTCACAGCAATCTCCAGCTCCTGGGCTCAAGGGATTCTCCTGCCTCAGCCCCCTCCCCCCCCCCCCCAAGCTGAGATTATAGGCATGCGCCACCATGCCTGGCTATTTTTTTCTATATATTTTTAGTTGTCCAGCTTATTTCTTTCTTTTTTTTTAGTAGAGACAGGATCTTGCTCTTGCTCAGGCTGGTCTCAAACTCCTTAACCCAAATGATCCACCTGCTTCAGCCTCCCAGAGTGCTAGGATTACAGGTGTGAGCCACGGTACCCAGCCTGTTGTTTTTTTTTTTTTTAAAGAATTTTGGGTTAGGATTTTTGTACTTTTGTTTTTATTGTTAGAAAGCTAGATAAGACAAGTGTGCTTTCTATTGATATATGTGAGAGAGAAAAAGAGAGAGAGAGGAGAGATACTCAGTAGTGTGTATGCTATTGGATCAAACAGAAAAGAAGGCCAGTGATTGTGTGAGAATCTGGATTTCAAATCTGCAAAAGGAAGGTGCAGAAAGGTAAGTTGATTTTGGAAATGGAATGGATAGTGCTTTCCTGTTTTGAGGTGCTCAGTGTGTCAGTGTTTTTGTTTGTTTTTAAAATTTTCTTTGGAAGAGAATTGCAATTTTAGTTTTAGTCTCTTTTGTTAATAGTGCTTCTTATAAACAGCGATTTCTTTGGAGGAGCTATTCCTAATATGAACCTTTTACATTTGAATGTTTTGAAGTGAAAGGATCCTATTAAAAAATACTAATTTTTTAAAAAGCTATTAAGAGAACTTTTAATTTAACAAATATTTATTGAGCACATTGTAAGAAAAGGCACCTTCCTAGGTATTCTGAGTATAGCATATATAAGACATACTTCTGTACTCCAGAGGCTTATTATATGGGAGGCACCAGTTATGGAAATGAAAAGGAAATTCCATTTTACTTTACTTTTAAATTTAGCAATTCAAGGAATTATTATTGGACCAATGATTGACTAATTGGGTATCCCTTTTTTGTAATTTAATATAATGTGGACAAATAGATCTGCCAGTTTATTTTGTAATTTGCACTTACATTGATTGACTACTTCATGTGCAGTTTTGGAGTTAACAGATGGACTCAAGAGATACTTTTTATAGACTTTACCAAGGCTGTGAATAATATTCATCAGTGGCTTTATTTATTTTATTTTATTTTATTTTTTGAGACAGAGTCTCGCTTTGTTGCCTAGGCTAGAGTGAGTGCCGTGGCATCAGCCAGGCTCACAGCAACCTCAATCTCCTGGGCTCAAGCAATCCTTCTGCCTCAGCCTCTGGAGTAGCTGGGACTACAGGCATGTGCCACCATGCCCGGATAATTTTTTCTATATATATTAGTTGGTCAATTAATTTCTTTCTATTTTTGGTAGAGACGGGGTCTTGCTTAGGCTGGTTTCAAACTCCTGACCTTGAGCCATCCGCCTGCCTCGGTCTCCCAGAGTGCTAGGATTACAGGTGTGAGCCACCTTACCCAGCCCATCAGTGACTTTAAAATAAAAACATCTTGGTAAAAATAATAAGAGCTTCCTACTGAGGGCCTGTTATGTGCTAGGCATTGTATCTCATGCTTTAGTCTTTATAGCTATGGTGGTATTTTTCATTTATATAAGAAGAAATTGAAGCTCATTTAATTTGCCAGTTACCTTCTAAGTGGCAAAGTAAGGGTTAAATATAGATTGGTCTGATTCTAAAACCTGTGCTTTTTCTAGTTTTGTATTATAAAGTTAGTTGGGCCAGTTTTATTTTAAGCAGCAAGTAAAGAATTACATATTTCTGAAATTTAGTGCTTACCTTGATTCCAGTGGCTGTTTGGGATAATATAAAGGATATAGGTATTGGAGCCAACCAGATTCTTAAGTCAGTTAATACCGATGAAAACTGCTCTGGAGGCTCCTCATTTGCTTAGCTGAATATTGGGGCAAATGTAGTAAGCTCTGAAGTTTTGGTTCTTGCCTGTCCAGTGAGATAGGAAAGAATGAACATTTGGGTATTAAATGTGTCAATGTATGTATGTTTTTTTCCAGTCCTCAAAAGGGCTAGTTAATTGCTTTTATTAATTTCTGCTATATTTTATTACTAACATTATATATGGTATAGAATTGTGTTTCAAAATTGGAAGAGTTGTCCATCATGTGGAAAAGGTGTCTGTAGAACACAGGATTATTATGTGTGTATGGATGACTAGGAGTCTGCCTTTGTGAGTATTTGAAATTCTTCACTTCCCTGTCATTGCATTATTTATTTGGGCTTATTTTCAGAATGTGGTTGAAGAACACATTTTTGAGAAAAATCTTTTTGTGAAAAAAAGGAGCCAGACACATGTGACTCCAGAAAAGAAAATTGTACAAAATAGTAGATTATTAACTTGGACAGAGTTTCAGGGTACTTGGATTCAGAGTTCTAGTACCTGTACCGGCCTTTTCCAATTAGCACTGTGACTTTGGGCAATTCACGGCCTCTAGGCTTTAGCTAGGTCTTATGAAGCAAATTCATTTGGCTTTGGGCAGTTCACTTAAACACAAACAAGCAAACTATTCCATCAGTTTATGTGTATGTAAAGTGAATAGAGTGATCAGGTGGCCTGGTTTTCTGTATCATCTTGGTTTGATTGTTACTTCTTCCTTTGGCTCATAAATGACATGATATGTGAGGATATTTGGAGTAAATGGTTAAAAACAGATTTTTGGGGGGCATAGTATTTATTTAAAAACTGGATGCCTTTCCTTGAAGGACCTCATGTAAATAAATAAATAAATCTGGATGCCTTTAGGTGAAACATGTAGTCTTTAGTTTAGCCTCAGCTCCTCTACTGTTTTATACCCAGCCCTCTTGGCTAATTTAAACTATCTGCCTACTCTTGAGCTCATTAGCAATGTCTAATGACAATAATCTGTGCTAGCAGATGAGAATATTCAACCCTACAAATTGTTTTTTCTTATTCTGTTTTCTTAATCTTATGCTTTTGTACTTTTAATGTATAAAAAGTATTCCTTCAGGTTGCTTAACTATCTTGCGACTATTTTAGACAGGATAATAAATTAGT